AGTTTTTAATTTTGCTATTCTAATGAATTCAATACTTAGTTTAATCGACAATTTTTAAATAAATAAATAAAATAAAAATTTTTTAAATCCAAAAATTTTTAATATATTCCTAGAAATATTAAAAAGAAATTAGGAAACTTGAGAAATATTCTATACATATATTCTATATTCTATATATTTAGCTAGCGCAATAAAAGGAAAATAATAGAAAAATATATAGATATATATTAATATATATTATATGCGGTTCCTATACAAGGTCCAAGTCCTTATCAGCTCTTCTTATATTTAAAATATGTATTAACATATTTTGGTTGCTCTTATAAGTATTTTCAATGTGATGCTTAATTGGCGAATAGAAATTTGCCTGGTTTGATTATTTATATTTTTTGATTAACTTGTTTTGATACCAGTGTGCGTTGGTGGGAACATGGATTGTAGGCCAGTTACTGGGTTACCTGGCGGTTACCTGCACTCGCCCAGTGTGTACCGTCTGTACCGTCTGTGTACCGTGTACTGGTGCACTGGTGCACTGGCATATACTGGTCGGTCCAGGCGAACATGTGTCTTGCAAATTAAACGCACATGTCGCTCTCTCGTCGTCCCCTTGGCCGGCGCACACTGGGTCTGTGTCAGACGAGGGAGGGGGGTGGGATTGCCATGTGGCAAGTATTGGGGCTGGCTTGGCGGCCCGGCACCATTTTCCAAACACGTTTCGCTTTTGTATGGCAATTGTTTTGATTTTGCTCTGCCCTTTCCTGTTGCCTGTTGCCTGTCGCTGTTCACTGTCCTCTTTGTTGGCCACTCGGCTGTCAAATGCGTTTCTTTCTGTCGTTTTTTTTGTTGGTTTTTTTTTTGTCGCTTTTGTGTTGCGTTTTGTTCAATTCTGACACATTTTAACAATTTATGAGGCGACCCCCAGCCCAGTCCAGCCCGCACCCGCGAAGCTTTGACAACTAAATTCAAAGCAATTCATACATCACCTGCTGGCCCAGCACTGCACAAATCCCCCACACACCCCTCAGCACACCCCCTGCCGCATAACTATGGGTGCACCTGTTTGAAAAGTGCGTGTGTCAAAGTGCGTGCGTGGCCGGTGACATTTTCCAGCTGCAGCTCGCAGAGTGTGTGCGTGTGGTGGTGGCCACAACGGTATCCGTGTCCCATGTTCCGTGTCTCGTGTCCCGTGTCCCGTCTCCATGTCCGTGTCTATTCCTCTGGCAGTTGTCAGCTGCGCTTTGATAATTTCATTTTGGCCCACTCGCCGCTGTTGCCATTCAATTGAGTTGAAACTTGCTGCGGCTTTTATTTCCTACCTCAATGGCTCAATTATTGAGCAAGGTTGGATACATAATACGGGTGAACGCATAAGTAAAGGGGTCTCTTCAAGTTCTAATAGAATAAATAATGAATAGAGTTTTGTTAAGAAAAGTCCAGAGGTTCGACTTAACAACACATCCATCCTTTAGATGGGGATTCGTATCCGGATCTTTGTACATCGATAAATAACTTAAGCAACTAATCAAGCGTGAAATTTATTAAAGTATAATAATTAAATGCCATAAGCTGCATATAATACGTTAAACAAAAAACTTATTTTAGATATTTATTGGATATTTAATGTTGGCTTCGGCGACCTTTCTATTTTTTAAATATTTATTTAGCCGGCTCGAGGTCCGGTGTTTAATTTATTAAAATAAAAGATGATAAACAATTTTGTTTTAATATGTATTTCTCCGATATATTTCGGTTGAACTTGTCTTCCAATCTGCGCTCTTTGACGTGGAAGTTATTGTACAGGCCACATATGCTTAAAATAAACTATTTCACTTGAATACTATTTATTTTTATAAATCTTAACTGAATGTTATTCTTGGATCTATTAAACTGTAATTAATATTAACCAACTACTAGTAAAAAAATATTATATTTACTATATACTAAGTACTATAAACTCAAAATATATTCAAGGTATTTAGTAAAGTTGTGATATTGTTGGTTGCACTATCTTAATAAGGGTAAATATTCTGCAGTTAATCTATAACCAAAAACCCAAACTAAATCTAAAAGTTAGTGGGACTTAGTCAGCTTGAATTGTCACAAGTCTTATTAAGTCATATTATTGGGTTATTAAATAAGTTTCTAAGCTCATACAACTTTTAAGCTTAATGTTTAGGTTGAATTTGAATTATTATGAAATTCAATAATTCCAGTTCGATTCTAATTTTAATAAAAAAAATTTTGGAATTGTATGTCAGCTTTATGTACAATAATTGGAAAGATCTACAGAATGACAAATAGCTGAGTTGATTTGCTCTTAAGCCTGACGACTTTAACCGATCGCAGCCTACACTCAGTTTGTATATCTGTTGGAATTCCCAACTCTCACTAATCTGTGGCATTTTAGTAGGATTATTCAGTAAAGCAATAAAATTATATTCAAGATGCATAAATGTAATAAATAAAAACAAAAAAACATTTTTATGGATAGCTGAAAGACTCGTAAATTCATAATTTGTTGCGCTGGAAACTAGCTGAGAGATCATTCGATCGTTCGATCGCTGGATCGATCGTTCGACCTCTTTGAGTGACTTCCTTGTTCAGCGCGTAATTTACATAAATTGAAGATGGAAGATGAAACGGGCCGAGAAAGCGTTGACCAGGCTTGACCGGCCTGACCAATAATAACAATTCGGTGTCGTCAGCTGGACGCGCAGATGCCATCAACGCGACGAACGAACGGAATCAATTTTTTTTTTTAAATATTTGCCGCCATCGACACTCAAGACTCGAATCTCAAGTCTCAAGTCACGGGTCTCCAAGCTCGCAGCTAGTATTGAAAATAACAGACGCAGCAACTGTCATCGCACAAATGATTTGTATTTTTGTTTTGGTTATTTATGTTTCATAAATTATCGGATATATCTAGACGATATTAGAGTCTTGACTCTCTGCACAAGTGTGTGTGTGTGTGTGTGCGAGTAGTCAACGGATGCCGATGGTTGCCGATCAAGATTTTATTTAAATGGAACTCATCAACGCTCATTTGGGTCTCCATCTCTGTCGGTGGCTGCGTCTCCGTCTCCGTCTTCGTCTCCGACTCCATCTCAGCGACTTGGACAGGCGATGATGAAGCTCTGTTGTCGCTTGCCTTTTTGCCTCTGTTCGTCGGCGACGGCGTCGGCGTCGGCTTGCAACGCCTTTTGTCTTAGGTTCAGAGCTTTAATTATAGAGGTCGCCCGAAAACACGACTTCTGCCCCGGACTCCGGCTCTGGTTGCCGGCTCTTGATGATGCCTTAATGTCAACTTTGTCCGAGTCGTCGTCGCTGCCGTCTTTCCACACGTTTCGTCTTTAATTAATGGATTTTGTCGTATTAAACTCATTAGTTTGCTTTCGGGCCATAATTTTAATTAATCACTCAAAATCCACGCACAGTGGAACCGAGAAGTGCGCTCCCCGCTGCCCGCCCCCTTTCCCCAACGAATTTAATTGGGTTCAGCTTAGCCGACCTTATCAAAAGTCTTTGCATACTAATCGAGCCAGAGCTACCTTAAATCTAAATACTTGTACACAAAATCCATATTTAAATGCGCCCAAAAAAGAAAAATAACAAATTAAAAATGCGTCGAGCTCGCTGAGATCGACAGTTCGCGTTACTCAATTGGTTTTTAATTTCAAAATGAAATAAATCAAAATTAAGAAAACCAAAATAAAATAAATATACGAAAAAAATGTGAATATTAAAAGCTTCGCTTCGCAAATTAACATTCGCCATTCGATTTGATATATTAAACTCAAAATGTATATTTCATCATTAAAAGCAACGGGCAAAAATATATAAAAAGAGCGCTAAAAGCGGAGAACGATCGTATAAAAACGTTAAACAAAAAAAAAAATCAAAATAAATAAATACAGAAAATGGAAACTAGTTTTACAGGTAAAACAGCGAGCGGGCCCAAGCAGTCAGTCGATGGGGCTCAGATCCGATGAGATGCGAACAGATTCGCCGTCATCGTCAGCGGCGTCATCGTAATTGCCGGCCCGTTCTCACTTTGGCTCGGATACTGGAGACTCGGAGCTCGACTCTGATTGTGATACGACAACTCCCTCTCTCTCACTCTCTCGCTCTCTGTCTCATTCGCTGTCTCGCTCGCCGGTTGGTATGATAAATAACAAATCAAACGCTAAAATGTCGGTAATGTATGTGGCTTGTCAGAGACTCCGTTTATTTATGGCCTGGATCAATAAGAATAACGCCCCAATCAGTGACTATAAATTAACGCAAAGACAAAAAACAACTTCAAAAATGTCGACGGCTGAGAATGTTTCTCAGTTGTTGTTGTTGTTGTCTTCGTTTATTTATTTCATTTCTGATGCCTCTCAGCACGCAGCATCTCAAGCTGAAAACTTTGAAAATGCTTTAGAAAATGTCGTTGACTGGGCTCATAACGATCTTACGATGGTAAACCGATCATGAATGCCAATGGAAACTGTAGCAGGAAATTTGAATAAATGATATAGCGCTCTCAGTATCTCAGTATATTGATGAAAGATCGGGGCTATAAAAGGCAATATGGTTAATGTGTCTACTCAATAGCTGCGAAACCACTTAAGCGAAATGACAATAAAAGACAATACGTTAATAAGCCAATATTGTAAGAGTTCAAGGCAGGCCAAACAAGCGAGAGTTTAAAATACTTTCCTATATCAACTAAATCTGCACTCTTTCCTGTTCAGATACGAGACAATTTCTTTTCCTTTAAGCTGAATGGTAAACAACGCTTTACGGAAGATATGGAGAAACAATCAATTGACATAACTTTAATAATTTCTTCAATAATATATATCACGTTATAAGTACTAGAAGGACGACTAATAACGAATAATAGTTGAAATGATTTAAAGGAATACTAGAAGTGAACCCCTTTGCTGGTATGAATTGCCTGCACATGTTATTGATATGTATATACAGAAATAAAAAAGTAAATGTTTACTTACCCAAAAATACACATAGGGAGGGCGACAGACTTTTATTTCATTTATTTAATTTATTTCCACGTGACTGAAAAAACAAAAGAAGTAAAGATCGGGTTAGAGTAAGAGAAATGTAATAAAAGGGCTATAAAATGAGAGAAAGAGAAAAAAAAGAAAGAGAGAGACAGAGGGACAGTAAATAGGAATAAAATTATTATTGACAAAGTTAATCATACAAAAACATATTTTGTAAATGAATCACATGCTTGAATTCATGAGAATTGCGTAGAAAGGCAATATCTAAAAATAAGTTTTAAAGCAGCACTGCAGCAAATAAACTTGGTCTGCTTACATGCATATATGGTCATAAGAATATATACATATATACATACATACATTCATAAGCAGGTTCATAAATGCATTCATACAGTCCTACATGCATATATACATACAAACATGCATGCATACATACATACATACATACATATTTACATGCACACATTGAAGTTTCGTCCATGCAACCCTGGACCCACATCATCCACAAAGAATGAATTTTGCGATAGGTGACAAAGATCTTAACAAAAACGGAATTGCATTACGAAAATAGAAATGATAGTATATGAGAAAATGTCAAACAAAAGATATATTAAAATCAATTAAGTAACTTTACAGAGTCTTACAGGTAGAATAGTCAGGCTACAACTCTCAAGCTACCAGTGTTAGACAACATTAGCTTAATTTTATTTAAACCCATGGTAAATATTCAAATAACAAGGAACTCATCCCTAGAACATTCACCAGTTCTCACTGCCTTTCGACCGCTTCTCTTGAACTCATAATTATTTAAGATACTCATATAGCTCTCATTGTAAGCCCCTAAGTTTCTATCTTCATTGAGGCATTTCGAATGCAGCGTTAATTTGACTACATTTTCGTGATCATCAGTCTACTTAGTTGGGTTTCCGTCCACATTCACTGTGAGTCAGTGCTCTAAGACAACTCCTTGCTCTCTGGCGCACACGTCCGATGCCGCCTTCGACTGTCCGCCGTTCCGCTTGGTTCGGCCCACAAATCAAGTGTGAAATATATTCAAATCGCACCAGGAGCGATAATAAAAAAAAATATATATATATAAAAGAGGAGCAAATGCGGCGGCAGCCCGCAAGCCAAATGGAAACTAGTAAAAATACGAAAATGAAGATGTAAATTATACCAAATGTGAATCATTGACCGGTCAAAACAACAACAAATGGAGGCGAAGGAGGAATGGCAACATGGCAGTCGATGCAAGTTAGCTGGAAAAAGCCATTTCTGAATACCAGAGGCAGGTAATGCTATCAATCTACAAGCTGTATCTAACAGATACATGCCAGCTAGAAAGAGGGAGAGGAAGTGAGAGAGAGAGAGAGAGAGAGATCGAGAGTGTGTGTGAGAGAGAGAGCGAGGACGAGTGCACGAGTGCAACGTCGTTTCGGAAACACCCTCCGCTTGCAATGATTGATTGCTCATCATTTTTCATTCTTAATGAAAATGCACCCCGCTGGCAAGAGTTGGTTTCGCTTTGGCCCGGTTCGCGACTCGCTGGTTGGTTGCTTGGTTCACAGCGAAACACCGCCGAGTACATTGAGAGAAAAATGTCTGTACAGGCGGACTGTACGTCTGTCTGTCTGGCTGGCTGGCTGGCTGGCTGGGGCACACACCTGAGCCAGCGCAATGCCTGACAGCCAGAAGGTGCAGAAGTTGCGATTATCGCGCATCTGACGTTGGCCAAGGGGAAACGGCGCTGCGCCATGCAAAACTTGGCCAAATTCCACCTTGGCCGCCAACGGGCATAAAAATGGCTGCCAGCTGCGAGTCGCTGGGGCGATGGCGTCCATATCCATGGCCAGCTGCCTGCCTGTCAACTGTCAACTGTTCCGTGCCTGTGTCATGCTATGCATCATCTTCTGGCAGTTATTAACCTTTGTCTCTCTCTCCCTCTCTCTTTTTCTCTTTCTCCAGCTCCATTTCTATCGCTATCTGTGTGTGAGTGTATCTATCAGATACTTGTACCTGGACTTGAACCAGCCCCGCTACTTTTAGCTGATTTAGTAGCTTGGCGTGGCGCAATTGCTGAAATTAAACAAACTCCCCGCAATTTCTGCCACTGTCATTGCCATTGCACACCCAGCAAATTAGTCGCCAACGTTATCCTTAAAATGCGAGTGTTAAATTAAAAAAGTTTTATATTAGAGCAATGATTAAATGAATTAACAAAAGGTTTTATCTCTAGTTAAAGGAAGGCTCTATAACTATTTTAATACCCAATTTCGTTGTAATAAGGTCACGTGTTTTTTCTCTGAAATATCTTATTAGCAGTAAATATTTTTGAAATTGTCGTAACATGTGATAATTTCGCTATATATAAATATAATTTAAATACATAATAAACAATATATACATGATGTATGATAAAAATTAAATGAATTTTTTAAAATTTAAATTATGATAATTATTTACACAATGTTTAAAAATGACAGGGTACTAAGACATTCGGCAAAGAACTTGCCTGGAATAAGACACCAAATCCTGTGACCCTTAAACATAGCTGCAGTTTCTCAGAAAGTTCAACTGTTTTCGCAAAGGTTCATTGAGTAATAAAAATATGTACATACTTGTGAGAGGATGGTTAGGTTTATTTGAAATATTTACTAAATTAAGTATATGTCTGTAAGTATTTTTTCCTAAGACTCTCACGGCACACTATAGTTTTTGACCTCTTGTAACGGACTGGCTGCTGTATCTTAATATAATATTATTATTCAATATGTATTTAGAATATTTTGAAATAAAATAGTATTAATTTATTAAAGAGTCCGGATCTAGGTTGAGCTTTTAGCTCTGGAAGAACATGTAGGAATATCCTGAGAGGAAAACAATGAGTACTCAGTGTCATTAGGGTATATACATTATTGATCTGCATTAGGGTATCTTCTAGTCGAGCACATTTGCGTTGCACACTTTTACATGCTTTTATGTATATGTATTTCGAGTTGTTAAATGTGTGTTGTGTGCTGCTGTAACCAACTTCTTGATGTATTTCTGTATTTGCCTCCGTTGCGTGGTTTCTGCGCAAATTACAAGCATTTCGCTCAGCGTCAACGTCGACGGCGACAGCGGCAGCGACTGCGGTGCAGAGGTCAACGTTGACGCCTGCGTGGCGGCCATTGCTGTTGTTGTTGCTGTCGCAGTTGTTGTTGTTGTTGCTGTTGCTGTTGTAGTTGATGTTGCTGCTGCTGCTGCCAACGCGCATCATCATTAATCATTTTTATTTGCACGCCGCCGCATTTGTTGGCATTTTCAGTTTGAAATGCGCCCTGTCAGGCCGGGCAGATAGGGTGGCTAGTGGGTGGGTGGGTAGGCGGGTGGGTGGTGGTTGGTGGCGCCTGGGAGCCACCCTTGTCAACGGCAAGCCGAAAAATTCCAGCAAGTTTGTCACATGCCTGACCAGAAGCAAAGCCACCCACCCAGCCACCCGCAAGGACACACAGCCAGCTGAATGCCGGGGCAGCCATCATCATCATCATCAGAGTAAACAACAAAACATGGACAGTAAATTGTAAGCGTCATAATGTAGCGAGCAGGACAACAACAACAACAGCAACAGCAGCAACAACAACAACAACATGAGGCGAAATGTCGACAGCAACTGTATAAATTATTACATTGTGTACTCTTAGCGCACATAAAAATACATTAATAAATATTATTTATGTATATTCTGTATTCAGTATACCGAATAGTCATACATTGCGACCCAGTAGATGCTTCTTTTTCTTCTTCTTATACCAAAATGACATGAGTTGTTTAATACACTGAGAGACAGCGTGAAGAAAATGTACGATGGGAGTGGGTGTTTAATATAGACCTTGATGATCACTTGGAGTTTCTCAAGATACATATTCATCATGTGTACAATGTCTGGCATAGGGTTAGCGAGGGGAAATGCGCCCTAGGGGCATAACGGAAATCGGAGTATTAAATTACATATATCGTATGTTAAACATTTTTGTGGCAATACCAAAGGACTAGATAATCGGAGTAATAAATTGGATATATCTTATGCTAAAAATTTTTGTGACAATACCAAAGGCAAATAGAAACTTTGGTTTATCTTTTTAAAAAAATTTAGGCAACTTTATATTGTTTGTTCTTGAAATTATTTGCAGCATATTAGAAGAACTTAAAAACAGATCATATTTGGTTAATATTTATTTGGTTAATATTTGGTGACCTTTTTCTTACAATTATTGTTTTTTGGCTGGTTTCTGTTGTGGATTTGATGTGCTCTAATCTAAACACAATTTACCCCAATTTTCTATTTATTTCTTCTCTAGAATCCTCAGTAGGAAAAATACAAAGTCCGCTTCGTCATGTTTAAAGTTACATATTTCATTTTTGACTGGTTTCTTTTGTGGATCTGATGTGCTTTAATTCAAACACAATTTATCCCAATTTAGCCCAATATATTTCATCTCTAGAGTCCTTAGAAGAAAGAAACACAAGGACTGCTTCCTCAGCTCTAAAGTTTTGAGCCTGACACTCAAGATCAAATGCCACACGCAATAACAACTTTTGCAAATTGGATATTAAATATTAAAAATTATATATAGCTAATTAAATAATGGTGGTGGAAACCTTTTCTTGAAGTTAACTTTAATTAGTATATGCTAAAAGGCGCTAAAATATACATGGTCTCTATCTTTCAGTGCTATAAAATATTTAATAAGTATTATTGTTTGGTGATTCCATCTCTAAATAACTATACAAATGTTTCCTTTTTCATTCCTGTAAACATATTGAATGACTTAAATTACCCAAGTCGTTTCTCTCAGTGCATTTCATTGAAATGTACATAAAACCTCATCTTCATTTCATATTTTTGACATTTGTTAAATCAAAAAAATGTATTTGGATTCCCGTCTTTTTTTTTTTTTTTTGTTTATGTGTCATTTTTGCCGTTTGAATTTATTTGTTTGTTTGCCATTTCGCGCGAATGCAAATTTGGTAATTGTCTTTCCCTGTGCGTGTGTGTGTGTGTGTGTCTGT